AGATTTTCACCGCTGTAACAGATTCAGCAGATCACGACGCGTTGCAAGAAGACCTTTTAAATCTTTGTGCATGGAGCAAAATTTGGTAAATGAAATTCAATATATCGAAATGCAAATATATTCGGTTTGGAAATGCTCAACATAATTATAAATATGTTATGAAAGATAACAATGGAAATAATATTGAAATACCCAAAGACACAGAAGAAAAAGACTTAGGTATTGTGTTCCGACAGAATTTGAAATTTGACTCGCACATCATCGAGAAATCAAATAAGGCCAATAAACTCCTCGGGATGGTTAAACGTACATTTTCCTTTATGGACAAGCAACTCTTTCTATGTATATATAAAACCCTTATTAGGTCTATCTTGGATTATGGATCTCCCATATGTAACCCATCTACAGAGAAATACAGACAAGTATTGGAAAATGTTCAGCGAGGAAGTACAAAAATTGTTCCTGGTCTAGAAAGTTTAACTTATGAGGAAAGACTAGTACAGCTTAATCTTCCGACACTATATTATCGACGTAGGCGTTTTGATATGATTCAATTATACAAAATGATAAATGAAACCTATTTTGACTTTCACCTGTTCACTCATTATATACCCATGGATGGGCATAATGTCACTTTTAAATATCATATTACTCGTAGATTAAACTTATTTCGAGGTCAGTTGCATGTATTTTAAATATCTTGAAAAGTGATCCATCGGAAGCATTAAAAACAGTAAAATTACATGCAAATTGCAGATTCGGTTTGATTCGCACCAACAATGTAGAGGTGAAATGGCAATTTTCCAGCTTTACTGTTGGAGGATGACTTCAGACGGTCCTCTGTACATTATTTTAGGCAAGAACGGATACCTGAGAAAGGTCATATTCAATAAATTCTCCTCGGTGTTGCAGCGTTCGGATATGAATTAAATCCGTTCAAGAATAAAAAAGTTTTAGCAAATTTTATGTAAATTCAATAATATTACTTAGAGCGTTTAGAAGTCAAGGTTATGCCTGAAGTATCCCACTTGACGATGATTTATTTCCTGTCCGTTGTTTATGTAACAAATAAGATTTTTTTAATAAACATTATGTACTAATTTGACTTTGATTGTCAAAATCTTTTTTGAACTTAAATTTCTCAACATTTTATAATAAGTGTTGTTTTGTCCCACTGTTAATCAAACCGTCCATAAAGCAACAAAGGTATGGCAAGATTGATCATAATTCAATAATTATACCATTTAAAAAGGTCAAAATCATATAACGATAAAGGTTAATTTCAGTTTATGCTACTTGAAGGTTTTTTTTTACAAAGGGTTCTCATTTCCATATATGAATACAATTCATCCATTAATATCAAAGTTATAACCAATTTAGCAAAATTCATTATGAGTTAGTCTAGATCAAATTCATATTCCATATGCAAGTAGTAGTTCGATCTCAAACAAGTTGTGCTGTCCAATTGTATATTTTATACAATGTTCTGTTGTAGTAGTATTATACGAGAACACAGTCCAAATATCTACGTATAAGATTCTACACGTTGTAACTATGGAATAGAAATAGGTATGTCCTTGGACTGGCAAAAACACTGAGCGGACAAAAAGACGCTATCAAAGGCGGCAAAGTACAAGTTCTTTCCACAGAGCGTTTAGCTTCAACTGCATTATACATTACTCCGAAGTCCTGGCTGAGGTAGACTGCCACTCCGTAGTGGTGATGTCCAAGCTGTGGATATTTACCGTTGTCAGATGCCTTTCAGGCAGGCATCACCCATATTGATGATGTTGTGCCCCCATGAATATTACACTGTCGGATTCCTGTAAATATTATCACTGTCAGATACTTGCTGATGTCCTCAAAGTGAAAAAAATAATATAAAATTTTGAAATATTTACATTTAAATTTCTTCAAAACAAACGTATTTCCAAGTTTCTAAAAGTAAACACACGGAAAGATTAAAAACTTCAGATGTTTTATTACAATCCAATGCGATACCAATGCCTTTTGTGAAATAGTTCCTCTTTAGGTTCACCTTTGCTATTTATAGATGAAACGTTTTTTCAAATATATATCAAATATGATAAACAAGATCAACAAAGAAAGGCGGCGTTCAATGAAAGCAACCCCCACACGACCCAGCGACCAGAACCAGTGGCTAGCAGGAGAACCCCAAACAAAAACAGGACAGGGGACAAGGCAGAGCACGGACAGGCCAATCACCAAAACGGCACACAAGAAGAAACAATTTGTAACTGATAAGGAATTCAAAGAAACCAAATAAATAATTGAATAATAGACCCACACGTCAAAGGGCACAGGTGGAGGGGATAGGAGGTTCGGGGAAGGGGGGGGGGGGGGGACAAAGATAAAACTAGGGGCAAGTCTAGGTATACTGCAGACAGTTGAACAGTTCATGATTTGTATACGGAGAGAAGAAAAAATAGTGTCTTTACATTTGTGGAAAATGTAAATAAAAAATGTTTTGCAACAATACAACAAATCTTAAATTGGTCTGAAGTGTAAAGCTGACGAATGTGAATGTTTTTATATACTTTTGTTTTTATTGACGACTCGCAAAGGTTATCCTGTCATTCCGCAGTAAATCATGCGTCTTATTCAAAATTCTAAAAATCTCGGCTCTTTTTGCTTTTAATAACATGTATGTACCCAAATTTTTATTAAACGTGTGTTACCGCGAAGTGCGCGGATGATAGCCTAAACACTATGCCTCATACTACCAGTATGGCGTCTAATGCTATGTTAAGGTAAGTTTTACCATTCTTGGTGCAGAGCTTGTTCCTTTTTTCTCAGGTTGACTACAGGTGGTTCGTACGATTGTCCAAATAAAATTTTACATTTCTGTTGTGATCATGTAAAAATTGAAGCAAAATGCCGAATGTGAGACTATCATCCGGGCACGTGGCGGTTACACACGTTATTAAAAATGTGGCTACATAATGTAATTTTAGGTTACGTCATCGTCAACATTTACCAAAAATATCCACCAGTAAATGTTTTGTAAACGCTCCAACAGCATACCTATAAACACTTTTTTGTTAAAAAAAAACGCATTTGTTTATGCTTCATTAATTATACCCCCACAAACAAAGTTTAGGGGTATAAAGGAGTCGGCTTGCCGGTCGGTCGGACGGTCCACATCATGGATTCCGGGCGATAATTTGGAAGTTTGGAATGAGGTGCTGCAATCAAACTTGGTATATAGCAACCTTATATGAAAACCCAGGTTGGTTTTGCATTTGGACGCCTTGGTGTCAAGGTCAAGGTCACTGTTTCTAAAAATAAAAAAGTGGTTTCCGGACAATAACAAGAAGTAGGAATGAGATGTTGTAATTAATCTTGGTTTAAAGCAAGCTTATATTAAGACCCCGATTGGTATTGCGTTTGGACTCCCTTGAGTCAAGGTCACCGTTACTAAAAATGGAAAATGATTTCCGGAAAATTACTAGAGTAAGGAATAAGATATTGTAATCAAACTTGGTGTATAGCAAGCTTATATTAAAACCTCGGTTGGAAATGCGTTTGGATCCCCTGGAGCCAAGGACAAGGTCAACATTACTAAAAATAGAAAAAAATGGTTTGTGGACAATAACTAGCAAGGACAAATAAATAGCAAGCTTATATAAAGACACCGGTAGGTATGGTGTTTGGACCCCCTGGGGTCAAGATCAATGTCACCATTACTAAAATAGAAAAAAAATGGTTTCCGGACAATAACTTGAGTTAAGAATGAGATATGTAATTAAACTTGATGTATATCAAGCTTTTATATGAAGACCCCCGGTTGGTTTTGCGTTTGGACCCCCTGGGGTCAAGGCCCAGGTCATCGTTATAAAAATAGACAATGGTTTCCAGACAAAAACTAGAGTTAGGAATGAGACGTGATGTATAGCAAGCTTATATGAAGACCCTGGTTGGGATTGCAATTAATTGAAATAATTCTTTGTATACAGTTGATACTTCATGTACTATAGGTTGAGTTAAAATTTTTCTTCAGACCATTTATTTTTCAAAAAGTCAAAGTTGCTGGTGGGTGTATTAATCACCTTCAGTGATTGCTCTAGTTTGGTTAAGAATTAAATTAACTCATACATTTACAGGTTTATGATTACTAAATTTGTATCGCTACTTATCACATTACTATTTCCTAGCTCAATTAAGTCGTCATCTCATGACAGTGCTTTCAATTACAACCAATTTTAAATTTCCGGGGTATGCTTAAGTTATTTCTAGGTATATATATTCGCTGGATTCCGGGTATCCGAAGTCCCAATAATTGATATTTAGTATTTAAACATAGCAAATTACCTATGATTATTTATTATTTTCAAATAGATTATTTTTAAGGAACTTTAAAGTAACGTTTCATATATTAAAAATATTCTACGTTTCTGCAACGCAAGGCATTATTTCATCTGCAATAATAAGTATACTTGTAGCATTACTATTTCTATTGTTTGAGTTCTAATCTTTCACTATGGACAATTAATTAATTCATGTGATGCATTTATAGCCAATCGCCCGTTATACACTGGAACAATACTACATGTACTTAAATAAAATGGGCTAACTCTTATCCATATTATCTAATAAAACCTTTCAAATATAAGGTCAAGGAAGTATGACATTAGTGAGTATTTCATATATTTGACATAGTATTAATGATTCTAATACTGTAAAATCCTGTACTGCAACGTATAAATTAGAATGAAGTTAAATGAGACATTAATTTCCAAAACATGTTCTTATAAAATTGTTTAACTACTGGTTATTACCACACATCGCATCAGAATCATTACAAAAGACAGTTTTCTTTGTTTGGCCAGTACATTGTACCTGTTATTTATTCACAATTGTGCTAGACGTTTGACAGGTTTGCAGTAGTTTTGACACATATCTCGCATTTAATTTCACATTTTGTCTAATGATTTAACCAATTAAGAGACGATAGCCATTTCCTTAAATAATCCTATAGAATTGACGATGCATGAAATTGAACTATTTAAATGAATATATTTTCCAATTATTTGATATTTCAACGGAGGATTACACATTGCAGTAACAGCAATATTTGCTGTCAGGCAATAAGGCTATCATGAAAGCTCTAGTGATTTTAGTTGTTTTAGCTACATTTGGTGAGTGGGTTTTTATTTCATTCAACGATTGACACGGTGTCTGAATTTTTTTATGGTACATGGATTCGACAGAGTTGTGGGACCGCAACATGACAGTGAATAGTTTGTGTCTATACGTTCTTATCATTGCTTTTTAACTGTAAACAAGTTACCGATAACATGGATTTTGACAGTTATTTCGTTAATGTGACATTGTGTGTACAGATAGGGATAGCTGTCATGCAATTGTCCAAAGCCTTCTACAGGGACAGTATATGAGTTATATGTTTTCCTCTTCGCATGCCTAAAAGCAGAGTATTTTAATTTAAAACTGAAGCATCGTTTGAATACACTAACATTTGAAACAAGTATTATATATATTTCTAAGTTATATTGCTAAAATTAAACATTAATTGAGGATTTTTACAAATCCAACAGACGAAATATTTGTATGCAAAACATCAGAAAAGCTACAATTTTATAACCAATATATTAAACGGACAATATGTACTGGAAGTTACCTTAGTTGTATATTAGCTTGATTTTTCGTTTTTCTTGAAACTCTTGGAAATATATTACAAGTCCAAGCAGCTATATCATTCACTTAATATTCAATTTTCATATTTATATAATCTGTTGAAATGTAGTAACATCATTCTGCTAATTTCACATTTGCACATTTGTAACAAAAAGACGTCACACGCTTTATGTGTAAATGAAAAGTACTTTCGATTGGATAATAAATTACCTACAGATGAATGGAAAGGAGCCTAAAAAGCAATTTATATATCATACTTTGTCTAAATGGCTTTGAATTTGTTCGCTTTTATATTCAATCGAAGAACAGAAACTCTTCAAAAAGATGCATTCCTATCACTGTGTCAATGACACATTGCAAATATATTATAATAAGTGATATCAACCAATTTAAAACTTTTTATTTGAAATAAAGACGTTTGATTGCAAGTTAACTAGAAGTTGAATATAATATAAGGAAATAAATTAAACACCATATGACAATCTGTATGTGCCTTACTCCATTAAATTTATTTGATGAGCTATAGAATGGTATATTGTTTAAATATATCTACATTTTACAGCTGCAATGTCAAATATTCCTAGGTCATTCCCTTTCACACAACTAGAATAAACCTGTTAGGCTTACCTTTCGTGGGGCGTCCGTGGCCGAGTGGTTGAGGTCATTGACTTCAAACCACTTGCCCCTCACCGCTGTGGGTTCGAATCCCGACAGGGATTTTGAATTCTTTCATGTGAGGAAGCTATCCAGCTAGCTTACGGAACGTCGGTGGTTCTACTCAGGTGCCCGTTCGTGCCTGAAATAATGCACGGAAGGGGCACCTGAGGTCTTCCTCCACTAGTAAAGCTGGACCGTCGCCGAAAGACCTATGACGTAAAACTAAAAAAAATTACCTTTCGTGTGTGGGTTGATCAGTATAAGATAAAATGACATTGTACGATTGCTCGTTCCGTATAATTAGTCAAAACCCATCAGTACGAACGATACAAGAGAAAATCGGTCCTTGAAAATGTTGCAAAAACTTTTGGGCGAAGCCTTCAGTATATTGTGTAGAAACGTTGATGTAAATTGATGTATATTTATATAAGCAATAAAACTGTATTAAACTAAGAATGAATTACATGTAATATATCGGAAATTGAAATTAATTACAATCAGTTAAAATAGATTGTAGATATGATTTTTTGCATTAGACTATAAGATTGATTTTTAAGTATTGTTTATTTTTCTCTTTTTTATACATTTTCCTTTAGTCAAAGCTCGTTCTATGTACTTAAATTTATGCGGTAAATCTACTCAACGACTATCCTTGTTAGTTTTGTTTCGTTCAAACCTTTCTGTTAATTCATATTTTCGATTGCCTTTTTCCAAATATTAATGTTTTAAAAATGTTCAAACTGACGTCAGTATGAAAGACCTGCATGAGTAAGTATTTCTTCAGAATATTAATTTAATTTCAAAATGTTATACATTAAAGTGAATTGGTCTGTAAAGAAATGTCTGTAAAACAATAGAAAATTACATTGATAATATTTAGTATCAGAAATAACAAACTTCGATAGAATTATACATGTATATGTATGTTGTTGGCAAGTGTGACATACATGACCGGACATTACATATATTTATGTAGCAGAAACAATAAACTGGTCAAGAACAACATATTATTTTTATTATTCATATAAATGTTCATACAAAATCACTTTGATCTTTATCAACCTGTTTTCTAGGAATTATTTATAAGAATATCGTATTGTTTTTCTCAACATTTGAAATACTTATGCAGAATGTGCACATTGTAGACCTGTCAACTTTAATGTACCCAAAGCATTACAGGCGTGTCTTTATATAAGTCTATAAATGTGTCTAACTGTATATAAATAATAATAATTAATAACTTTAAATTTCCGACAGGATATAAAATTAAACTTTATTTCTTCATTAGCATTCTGTCATTGGTATGTTTTGTATTCGGATCATTTGCATAGAGCTAAATGTATTTCCGTCTAAATTTATATTATTTTTTTTATTATCAGATTATTACATTTGGTACTAACATTTCCTTATATTGTAGCATATTGTAGAGCACAAAGACGGCCTCCAAACTTTAATTGTGATCGAATTTGCAGACCATTTGGTTATAACCCAGTGTGCTCGGATGAAACCCCTAACAGAACCTATGACAATGAATGCCTTCTGGATTGCAAGTATGTCTCCATTTTATATAATTCTACTCTCAGAATAGAACTCGGTGTTTTTTAAACTGTGCAGTATACATGTATGTTAGTTATGGATAATAAGAAGTATGGCACGTGACACTAAACCATTGTTTTTCTTTTAGATAAATATTATGTACACATACATGTACATAATACAACAAAACCAAAATAGTCGTCAACAATACTGGAATACATTGCTATCTTCCTCTTTTATAATTTGTTTTGTTCGTTTAAAGTAACACCGACACTGTAAACGTCATATACTGAATGTCCAGTTTACTGGTGGAGGAATACTTCAGGTCCACCGTCGGGAATTATCTTTTGCAAGAACGGGCACCATAATAGGATTTGAACCCACATAGGTTAAGAGCAAGTGATTTGAAGTAAGCTACCGTAACCCCTAAACTACGGAAGCCCCGTCTTCGGTATAAAGAGACCTGTTTAGTATCATTAACATAACAAACGTTTAGTTGCCAACAGTAGACGAATCAACCTTATCTTAAAGTCGAGGCTCTTCTTTTCATATTTCTTTCCATTTGATTATACAGAATTTACTATAAATTCAACCTTTGCAAAAAATCTCTAATAGATAAATTGAATACGATGATTTATATCACGTCTTGTTTGATGTATAAATATACAAACAATTATTTAATGATACTATGTTTAACATATTGAAAAGTACCATTGACAATTTCGGACATATACAATAGTGACATTAAAGTTGTTTTCATTCTATTATTTATGTACTGGTATATTAATTTAAATAGATGGAAATATAAACAATGTGATGGTAGATGTCCATGTAGACAAGACAATTTCAACGGGAGATCCCAACAACCATACCGACCACAAAACAATAGACCTCCGTATCAGCCGCCATATAGACCGGAAGCTAGGTCACAACCAAGACGAGGCAATATCTGTATCTGTGATGGATCACGTGATCCTGTCTGTACCGATCAAGGCACGGAAATGAACGAATGCCTTGCTACATGCCAGTAAGTTACTATTTTTGGTTTTATTATGATTGTTTCTGAAAATTTCATGTTAGTTTGATTTGTGTCTTTAATGCCAGTTTTGATTGTCATATTAACATTCTTTTTTTCACCATACAGAATCTCTCATGACATATTTATTCAAACCGAGTATGCAATTTTCACTTTCCTTTCTCTTTAGGGAGCTCCCCTTGTCTGGATTGTTTTTGCATTGATAAATTATAAAGCATACATACAATAGATATTTATGAAATGACCCTTTTATATTCAACCAAATGTGGCTAATAATTATATGAAGACATAAGTCAATAAAATTGCATTTTTATCTTAACATACTTCTTGTATTGTTTGATTACTTTTTTATTTTCTTATATTATAGTAATAAACACATTCTGTACGAGGGTGAATGTTGGCTGAGACGTCCATAGAAGCTGTATGGTGATGGTGTGTGAAATGATAAAAATAAAATGACTTTTACACTTGTTTTAAGCCCACAAAGTCGCAAATAACCAAGTAACTGTAATCTTTCATATTTTGAAAAATCCGAAAGGTATCTTCATTAGTTATTGTTTTAAACATCACAGAAAATGTATTGCTACCAGCTAAATTAAGGACATACATGCTTCTGGAAGGAACTGGTGTCTGTAGAAGTTGGTCACAATGTTTATACTTTATTTGAGCCGCGTCACGACAAAACCAATATATTGGGTTTGCGACCAGCATAGATCCAGACCAGCCTGCGCATCCGCGCAGTCTGATCAGGATCCATGCTTTTCGCTATCAGTTTCTTTACTTGTTATAGGGTCTGTAAGCGAACAGCATGGATCCTGATCAGACTGCGCGGATGCGCGGGCTGGTCTGGATCCATGCTAGTCGCAAACGCATTATGTTGGTTTTGTCGTGACGCGGCTCATTTATGTTCTATTTTATAAACACTTGATAGTTTATGGTAATATAATAATTCAGAAATGAAAGTGTAATGAAAGTAGCAAGTAAACATTCGACGTAGGCTATTAAACAGTGTGAAATGATGATATCTAAAAAATAACTTTTATGTTTGTTCTTTTACACTAATTCGTCTTTTCGTATAGTTTTTGCATTCGATATTATGTGTTCATGTTTCGGAATGTAAGAATATTATATTTTTTCTGTTTCCCGTTATCAGTACAAAAATAGTATTGAAACTTTTTTACAGCTAAAGAAAAACATATATGAATATAAAAGTTAATGATTCATTTAGTTCTTTCTGACGTTCACCGAATTTTGGTGTTATATGAAAAAATCTTTAGAAGCTAGAAAAATATGACGTTTTGAAGAGAACACTTTTAAACTTTGAATTTTAAATTACCTATTGCTAACTGAAGATCAAGGTGTATCATGTAATTAAGCATAAATGGTTTAAATAAAAAAATGATAGACAATGCAAATAACGTTCAACCAACGAAAACGCTTTCTTATATGTTCATGTAGCTAAGTATTCATGCCCAAGCCCATCTGTATATTTCTTATCCACTCACTCTAGAAACTAAATAAAAGCCTAAAAATCGTCGGGGATCATATCAACTATTTCCCTATTGTAACAGAAGGAAGGTTGCAAGCCTTTGTCGGCACCAGTAAAGGGCGAGGTCAACCTGCACATCGTTTTCTGACCAGCTTTATATCTTTTTCCTGATATCCCTAAAGTTGACAATGGACAGTTCCAAAAAGAAAAAAAGCAATGTATAAGGTAATGGGGAAATGACAGTAGAACCAAGTATCTACATTGTGTTCCAGGAAAACCCTTGAATGTTATTAGACAAAAAGACAGGATAACTACATATAAATGTACCACATAAGAAAGAACAAGTGTATTTCTTTTAAAGGTTAAAAAACTGACTCCCAATCGACATGTCGATTTATTATGTATCTTAAAATACTAGATTTGTGCAATTGCAATTTCTGAAATGGGTTGTAACGAAGAAATGTTGTCCTAAAAACTAAACAATTTAATTTTCATGCGTTTGGAAATCGTATCCCCTCGCCTTTTTAATTTACCATAATTTGTCTCATAAATATGTCTCAAATATGCAAATTTATACATTTATTTCGAATAATTTTGTACAAATGATTTATCAATGGAAATGTGTTTGAATCGATAAAAATGATCCAGTAAAAGTATTGAATTAAAAACATGTTCTGTTGATATGTAAAATAAGAGCGTATGTATGAAATAAAAGATTCACAATTCTTATGAACTGTTGCTACAGATATCGGAATGTACAATTTAAATCTACATATAAAAAGGAAGCTAACGAATTGTCGGCCTAAGTCAAGAATAATTCACAACAGTGAAATATTTAAAAAGAAAGAACAGCGAAATCAACTCCAAAAGGATCCAGTACAAAGACATCAGCACAAAGCAGAATGGTAGGAAAGAAATTTAGTAATTATTAAAACTATTCGGTTATTAAATATCATTACAATAAGCAACAACTTTTACAATTTAAAACAACTGAAGTTTATGGTCACTTTGCTGTTACATGAAGTATCAAATTAGAAAATATGTAAGTATCTAAATCTAAAATTGGCAATTATAATCTAATTAAACTAGAAGCACTAAAGCGTTAATATATACATTGAATGTATTTAAATGGGAGAATTAAAATGCATATAATGCAGTGAAGATATGAAAGGCACGACATGAAACCACGTTGCTTGTCACAAAATGTCAAAATATGTTCTCAAACATGCCATTTAAAACGTCAGGAGGCATTTTAGTTCTATTTTATTGGTGTGCGTATGACGGATATATACATGTTCGATGATGTCGTCATCTAAGACAATGATAAAACGATAGATTATTAGCATAAAAGTCACATAATTTCATTAAAATCTCACTTAACAAAATTTATGTATTACTTAATTACAACCACGTCATTGTACATAATCTGCAGGGAAAAGAAATTTAAGAAACGGTCATAAAGTACATTACAAGATATTATAGTTTATCAGCCACTACAACATTTTATTTCTATTAACTGGGGAATATAAATTTTCATATAAAATTATAACAGAGATTTACTTGGATATTTTTGTTTTGTTAGTTTTAAAGTTACACCGACACTGTAAACGTACTGACTCCAGCTTCACTGGCGGAGGAATATGTTGATATATTGTACTTATCTTTACATGCATGGAAGTCCATAATAAATTAATGTCTCTCCGTTCATATTGTTGTTCTGAAAGAAAAATATCTTAAAGGAATAAAACAGAACTATTGCCAGTAATCATTTCAAATATATAAGTCATCAAATGTAATGTTGTAAGGGGTTCTACGAGAAATGAAACCAAAATGGTCTTAAAACCATTACATGTATAAAATATATTAAATATTGTTTTTGTGGTATATACAACATGGCATATGAAATAAATAATTAAAATAAATGAATTTAAAAATTAAAAAGAACTGAAAGCACATTTTAAAAACATTATCGATATCGGATTTAAAAAAAAACAAACAAAAAACAAAACAAAAGAGAAAAAAAAACGTTTTTCCGACAAATAAAAATAGTACATTATTCAATGTATATATATTTGATATAACCATATTTTTTTCAAGATATATACACATTTTAATAATTTTCAATTTAAAAGCAGAAAGTAATTGGACTGAGAGCTACAATAGCTAATGGTAGTTCTCTCCTTCTTATATTTGAAACTTACATATACATATCTGAGTTTAAGAATAATGTGTTTATTATTGAGTATACAACAAACAACATGTATACATGTACGATGTGTTTCTTGTTAATAACAATGAAGTAATTCATATATGTACTAATATAACACAACCGCCAGCAAGTATATACATAACATGTTGTCTTAAGGCCTTATTTTTTCTAAAAAGGAATAAATACATTATTATTCCATCTTTATAGAACAGAGTTTCATAACGGTTGCAAAGGCAAAATGCTTATGTTTTATTTATGAATATAAAGGTTTTGAAAATAATATCATTCGAGGGAAGCATTAATCGACAAACATATATAAAGGATATATTTGCACTTAAACCCTGCTGAAAAACGTATGTATTTTTTTTCGTTTAATTTTGTATTTCTTAAAGGAACTCCACTGAGGCCCAATAGCCTAAAATAATAAACTTTGAAAATCTTTCTTAAATCAACTTGTACACTTAAAATTTGAAACCAAGCAATAGAAAATACATACTTATGCTCGGTATTAAATTGATAATCGATTTTTATGCGATTTTTGGTCGATTTGAGTCAAAGCGTTGCAACGATTTTCATTTTTTGCGCCAATTTGCACAACAAAATTGACTATTTTGGGGAAACAGAGTGAGCGAATGATCTGAAAATTTGTACGAGAGTTATTAGTCTAGACATACATCTCTACAAAAATCTAAAACACATATTTCCGGTCCCTTCATGTCAAAAAAACTCAGTTGAGTCCCTTTAATAATATATTTCCATAATCAGAACACTTTTAAATGATCTATTATTTGCACATAAAGACTTGCTATAGCTAAGAAGAAGATAGAAATTTATAACCTGAGAAATTAGCAGCTTATATTAGGAAAGTCTCCAATTAATATGAAAACACATATGACCATACATATATAAGATGAATGCTTACTATTAGAAGGTTAAATATACAATATTTCTTTCGCACACATAAGAGGCGCATACATCGGAATGGTTTGTAGACATACCGAAACATTTCAATTTGATTTCTTCGACACTAAGGTTGTTATTTACTGGTGTGGGAGCTTGTGTTATTTCAATTAGGTGAACACTTCATGTGGCAATTGACCATCAAACGTTTGACCTAGATAATTTCACAGACTGGTGTTTGAACTGAGTATAATCCTTTAAGCTTTGAGATCACAAAAATGCATGTACATGTATATCAAAGTTTTTTAATGTGCAAGTATAAGACCTTCACTAAATAACGTAAATAAAGTAATGTTTGGTAAAATATATGTTAAAAACAGCAAAGCTTAATGGCTCCTTATTAGTAACGAGACATTTAACCTTATTTTATGCTAGAAATGAGTGCAATAACATAACTTTCATCAGTTTTGACAAATTTATAATTTTTTTTCACTTTTACACGAACATGCTGCAAGGCCCATCAGAAACTTAATAAAAAATACACCGTCGTCGTTATACGAACGGTAAAGTAGACAGTTTATAGCATGACTTTAGTTTATATTTGACTTGTTTGTAAATCATTCTGTCATAAATTTCTCATTAATTTGATAACCTGTCTGAACATCACAAATAACTATGAAGAAAACCATGATTTTAATTTCCGCAACTGTTCTATAAAGTCCACGATGCGTAACATTTGAAGATTTAAAAGAGAGGGTTTTTTTAGGATTGCTCGGTACCAGCTTTAGCATTCACAGTAATATATTCTGTTAGACAATAAGTTATCATGAAGACAGTTGTGATATTGGTGCTGTTTGCCGCTGTTGGTAAGTCTTACATTGTTTATATGTCTTAATTCTATATTGTTTTATATGTCTTATGTCACACTTTAATCAAATATTGATGAACTTATTTTTTATTTCGTCATCCCTCTATGATATTTTCATTGGATAATTTCATTTTTGTGGGTGACTGTCGTAATTTTATTGAACAATCTAACACTTTCAAATAACAAATATAAATACGGAATCGCCCGAAAAACATTCAGTTACGTAATGAACTGTACTGATTTTATTGAGGACGCTGCGTATTTTATCTAAGAATGACACACAACTATTTTCGGATCCTCTAGACAATTTGATACCAGCTATTTGTATTTTTACAAGCAATTTTGCTAAACACTTTGCCTTATAAAACCATAGTACTGTTGAAAGCAAAAAATGACTATGTTTCTATAAAAGAGTGCTCTAGTGGAATTGTTAATCTATCATTCTATTTGTGAACAAACTGGTCTCTTATCTTTGTTTTACATTTAATAAAAACAAATCAGCATCACCAACTGTTTGAAATATCCATGCGTCTATGAAACCCAGTTCACAAAGTAAGTTTTTAACCAATGAACACCAATTTCTCCTATAAGGATTATGAACAACATCATTGTACAACATATTACTATAAAACCATAGCCTTAGATGCATGAAAAGAGTTGTAAGATCAATATTTAGCGACAGAGCAATCAAACCGTAACCAAAAGAAATTATTAATATTTGTATCCCGGTTGAATTGTTGTTCTTAAGCATTGCTTTTGATGCAAAAAAACAACACAAAACAAAAAAACGTTCGTAAACATCTATTTGACTAAAATATATCAAGCCTGTTTACCGCAATAATCCTATACTACAATTGTCACGATTTATATTTCCATTGTTCAGACATTAAACTTATTTAATATTGATGATTTATATTTTTTCTATGAATTATTGTTTGAGTTGGATGATATACAATTTATGAATGGACCGCTAAGTTTTGTACACAATTCATACCACCTCAAAGATAGTTTATTTCATATACCATACATTTCAGCACATTGCGCTGTTAGAAGGGATAAACCAGACTTTGACTGTGATAAGATATGCAGACCATTTGGTTACGACCCTGTATGCTCCGACAGAAACAAACAATTCGACAACGAATGTTTCCTGGATTGCGAGTAAGTTGAAATTTATTTAAATTACATGAAAAATATTGGTGTGGACATTAATTTTATAAATATTCAGTTTTTCTCAATACGTAATCATTCTTAATATAATTAACATGTTTTCGCCACATATACTAAGTGTTTTATGAAAGTTTTTTATGCGGAAATGAAAATGCTTAGAATATATGCGACACTGAAATTCTTGACAAAATTATTTTGAGAACAAATACGAGACACAGATCAAGATTATCTTTTAATAAAACTATTACATCGTTTTCATTGGTGTTTTGTTTCTTTTTACTTTTAGATGGAAGTACAAAGGATGTGACGGGAGATGTCCATGTAATCGTCCTGACACGCCTGACAGACCAGATCGACCAAACTATATCAAAGCTCAACGACCACAGTACAGACCCGAACCTAGGCCTGAGTACAGACCCCAACCTAGACCTGAGTACAGACCCCAACCTAGGCCTGAGTACAGACCCCAACCTAGACCAGAATACAGACCCCAACCTGAATACAAGCAACCAGAACCTCAGCCAACATACTGTGTATGTGAAAGAAAGTATGATCCTGTCTGCACAACTGATGGAACAGAAGATAACGATTGTATTGCTAAATGCCAGTAAGTACAGCTGCTGTTTCAACTTCTTTTTTTATATAAAGTAATGTTTGCAAGAATAATTTAGCATTTAGTTTAAACAATATTTTGTTTCAATCAAAGATATATAGGCAGTTTTATTACAATCACCTGCTTTTTTAACCTCTTTTCATCTGAAATCATATTTGCAAGTAAAATTTAGCATTTAGTTTAAACAATATGTTATTTCAATCAAACATACGCAATAGAATAACAATCAAATGCAATAAGGATTGAGTAGAAAGCTACACATTTTTTTAGAAACTGTCTTCTAAATTTGGTATTTGTTTAGCTTTGCACTGGAAGACGACTCTATGTTCTCTCATATATGACGTTGTAAATATTGGTCCATTTATTTAATGTATGGATACCTTGACGAAATGAAATTATATATTAAAATAATAAACTTTAAAATAAGAAATAGCACTACCAAAAAAATTCAGATTCAGATATAAAAAAACATTTGATGGACACACCGTCTTTTATATGGCAAAATATGAACTTCATGCTCTCTGTAATTCATTATTTATATCTGTGTGATTTCTTTTTTTGTGTGTGCAAAATTTCTACTTTTTTAAATAACAACTTATTTGCTTAGATCACAAATTTAAGTATTTGAATTGATTTTAAATTTGAGCCGCGTCACGACAAAACCAACCAACATGCGTTTGCGACCAGCATGGACCAAGACCAGCCTGCGCTTCCGCGCAGTCTGATCAGGATCCATGCTGTTCGCTATCAGTTTCTCTACTTGCTATAGAGTTTGTAGCAGCATGCATCCTGATCAGACTGCGCGGATGCGCAGGCTTGTCTGGATCCATGCTGGTCGCAAACCCATTTTGTTGGTTTTGTCGTGACGCGGCTCATTTGTATTATTATTAAGACGTCTTTTCTTCTCTCTTTGTATTGTAAGTTTTCATTTGAGATGACCTTATATTTCATAGCGATACATACATATAAAATTAATTCTGTCTGATATTTTTTAAAGATATACTAGGCTTATCTTTATGTAAAATGATTTTACATCAGAAATTTAATGAAATCTAGTAAATTCTTCCTGAATATGTCTAATTTGAATAAGTAAATGCATAAATTATATTCTAAGCTGCATTCCGTTTTACCTGTCAAATTAATAAGGTCTATTCTTATAAAAAAAACTGCCAGTTGTTTTAATGACACTATGTTATCATACTGTGATTATCTGTAGTGTGTAGAGTTTAAAACATAACATATTTTCTCTGTGTGTATTCAAAACATGTTTATTTTACATTTCAAAAGAGACTGTATAGTAATTAATTAATCTTATTATCTGTGGTTTTCTTTTCAAATATCAAAGTGAGCATTATATATTTTTAAACAATAGTTCAAAAAGTTTAACTTACTTCAGAACTATTTATCTCGGATTGGATGATTATTCGTTGTGTATATTTATGCCCTTGTTCATAATCTGTCACTGGAAATTCCGAATTTTACTGAAATCTAAGAACATAATGATCACTGTTTAATCATAATATCTTTTATTGCAGAGGAAAGTACAAACTCCACGATGGCCAGTGTTATTAAATATGAGAGAATGTCAGAAAGAATGATAATACGTGAAATGATGATTTCAAATGACTTTCACAAATGTTTTTATGACCAAAATGTCTCAGAATAAATGTGTATGTTTTTATAAGAACATTGTTGTTTTTCTTTTCTGACGAGGAAATAATTGCAGTAGTTTGCTACCAAAGATAGATAACTTCTTTTAGTGGTGGCGATGCATGGACAAATATGGTAATAATTCCTCTGAAACACAATAAGAAACGCAATGTTACCAGCTCATAAGTAAATGTGACGCTTTCATATAAAATATTCAGCATGTTTATAAAAGTATCAGACTTGCTCATGATTGACGGAATTTCCTGTTGGTTTATTTATTTTAAAACTTACATTAACCCAATGTACTTGAACCCTTAACCTAGTAAATTAGAGAAAATAAGAATCCCTAAAGAAAGCCCAAAACGGCAAAATTGTTGCATTATTGCTCGGTTTGATTGAGTCAGTTCAGGGACGGTCCAGGCCCCCTAGCACTGGCTTAAGCAGATTTCATTATTTAGAACCGAATGTTAAAAAATATAACCAAACCAGCCATCACATCTGTTTATTCTGTTAGAAGACTAAGTTTATTAAGCAATTCACCCGGTTATGGCTGTACTGATTTCTAATATAAAAAATTGTCATTGAATTAAAAAAATGTCTTAGAAGCTCCTTCAGAAAACCACTTTCAATGGACATATTTGTAATAACATTTCAAATATTAATATATTTAGAGTATTGGAATGAAATAGTATCTGTTTTTCTGAGACACATAATAATTGTTCGTAAAGGAGTTTCGTTATCTTTACCTTTGATAAAAATAAATGGTCAAAATATTTTCGCTATTATAAAGAGGTTAAATTGTCGAACTAAAAGTACTTTGAATTGGCCATATTATTCAAAACGTATTAGTTCTAATTATACGTAGATCCTAGCGAAACTGTACAAAAAGTACTTAATTCAACATGTTTGCTCCACCTTCTTTTTACATACATAAAAACAAACCCCTTTACTTTAATCGCTAAACACTATATAATTGTGCATATTGGTTTTAAATTGTTGTTCTGGGTCCTAGAAGAAAGACGAAATAAGACGATTTATTGCCGTCTATGTCTCAGTTTAATCGTATTGTAGATATTGTAAAGCAAATAGCTATTCTACAAAAATAATGGAAAATCTACAATGCAGATATTATCCACCGAATACAACGGCAAAATCCAACACAGCTATTCTTGGTGTAAAAAGCGATTGTTGATTGTATTACCGACAATGTTTTGTAGTTAAAAATCTTTTAAGAAACAAACATTGTATAGAAATGGCCCACAACATATTAATGCGCGCGGCATGAACTCGAGAGGATCTTGACAGTTTTTTGTTGTTTCCTTTAAAATTTAAAGAAAGAAACGCATACTGAAATTGAAAACATGAAAATAACATATTTTTGATATTATAGAGTTTATCAGGCCCGGCACGAAAACAAAGAATGGCTCGATAGAACCTCACCCTACTTTTTTTCTTAGCCTTACGAACTAGACCAACGTGTTTTAGTTATATGTAAGAGAAACTTTAATATTCAAAACTTTTATTCATATCACAGTTTATCAGTTTAATATGATCATATTTATAAAAATATTTTATTCTCTTCATTTTACCTCATTTACTTCAATATATATGGACTTCCAGACTTTACATTAGTGAGTACCATTTAATTACAATACTGTCATAATTGAAGTGTTCTGCATTTACCAATAGCTAATAAAATGAAAAATGTCGTATATAGAGAGAATACCATGCTCGTGTCGTCTGATATAACAAAATTTTATATAGTTTGTCGGTGTTTGATATCAAATAACAAATAAAACACTGGATTAAATGTTATATATTTGTAATTTAACAGATATTTACATTCATTATATACTTATATAAATAAAATTTTGAAATATATTGATGAAATTAAATGCATATATTCACTAAAAATATTTTTCACTGCATTTTCCGTATTTCCACTGATGCCTTGTCGGATTACTTTCTTCTAAACTTAGCCAATACACATAATTAAAAGGGAAGTGTTTAGAATTATTTATCATTGTTATTATTTCAACAATGCTTTTTAACCCCTATTTTTTTTAATTTTGTAACTGGTTTGCCCTGCATAATATTCAACAGTTGTTGTATTTTTGTTTATATGTATCGTAGTACATTATTATGAGGCTAAAATACACACGCAAAAATTATGAATTAATGATTATTATAAAAAAAAGCCTCAAACGCCAAACACAATGTCTTTCTTCTAAAGCATGTTAAGACTAAAGCATAGTGAAATACACATCATTCCTGAGTGTTTCGTTCAGCATCATAAACGAAAGCAGAAAAAAGCAGAAATAATTTATCAAGTGATTCATGTCCATAAGACTGGCCCCCGTGATATTCAATATTTGATATAAATTATTATGCGTTTTAGCGATGGAATATGCATTTAATTTCAAAAGCGTGTACGTCTTTATTATCTAACAATGTATATGCAATGGAAATGATAAAATGAGACATGTGAGTAAATTATGCTGTTCCTTTAGAACATAAAATTTATAATTGAGGAATCGGGACCGCCTACTATTGCAACATTCTTCTAATTCAATCCGTTTGCATGGAGCTGATAAATGATAGATATAATTATTCAGTGAAAGTCCTGTACAATGCCTGTGTAATAAAATGCCTGGTACAATTAAAGGTCTGGTACAATAAAAGACCTGATACAAGGCAGAACTAGGAAATAAATAACAAACAAGTATGACAATTATAGTTGAAAGATTGATATTTTTGCTGTTGTTGTTAATGCTAATAGGTTATAATGTAAATAAATCAATAACTGACTGAAAGGAACCGAGCTGTTAAAGTCGCTGATTTGTGACTGCTATCTTCAGGGACGATGATTCTACCTCATGAAGAAGATATTCCTCCAGTTAGCTTGCTGAATTTCCATTGTTCTATTCATTAGTTTCAGGTATTTGCTTGGGCCTGAAATAGTTATTGCATTATCTGCGCTAGATGGAAGCAAAATAAAGATCTTAAGTATGTCGGTATGGCTAAAACATCAACTGCGCAAAAAGCGTCAAGAAAATGTCATAATCTTCGCGTAATAATATTTTTCGTGACTAGGTTTATGAAAGTACAGTCAAAGTAAAATATGTGTAAAAACAAACAAAACAGGTAATTTAAACACAAAAATGAATATGAAAGGATAGAACTTATGCTATATATGCAGCGAAACCGGACCAAAACGCCATTCATTAATAAACTTTATCTTAAATTGAAATTTATTTTTCTTTAACTAATGGTGTTAGTTTACTGTTTAGGTATAAAACGCATAACAAGTCAGAAATAAGGTAAGCAATCAACATGCAGGTGTGATTTATATTGGAGTGTGGCAGCTAAATGCCATATTTTTTGCAAATGAAATATCTTCATTCAAGCTGTGGTTTTCATGAAATTTGTCAAACATCTTACTACGCCATAGGGGATGTTGTAATCTTAGTTTTAGGAAGAAATCAAAGACTTTCTGTTTAATAAGTTACATAATGTGTTGATATGGCAACATTTATTTAATCGTTAAATCGTTTCAAATTTAGAAGGCAATTATAAACCATACGATGTCATATCTTCATCTTTGAAAGTTGAAACATTTCGTGTGAGCTGAATAAAACTTCTAACAATTATCGGTTTGAATAGACAACAAGTTTGCCTGGATCCAATTAGACGGTGCCATATCATCATCTTTGAATGTTATTTGAAACATATCATGTGAGCGACATTACTAACAATTATCGTTTGAATAGTCAACTAGTCTGACTTGATCCAGCTGAACATTATGTGTATGAGTAAGCCATTTACATATTTTATATATATATCATGAATGTGTAAATCAACGAAGAAGAAGAAGAGGTTTTAAAAATCTTGATAAAATCAAATATCATATTATAAAGCTTTTTGTAAGACTATAAGATATATGTGTAGTAATTTATCATACAGGTTTAACCTACAATCAAGATCAATGTGTTACTTATTATAACATTGTATATTTACAATAAATGCCAGTTCAATAATAATAAAAATGTCTAAAAAGTTAGATTTAATGTATTTTTTTCTTTAAAACTGTACAATCTAAAATGATTTAATATAGACATTTAAATGTTAAGCACGCATCTACATCTATTTAAAATCTGATAAAAGTCACAACATGAAAATATTTAATTCGCTATATATCATGTTGTTCCTTTTCTTATATTTATGTTTGACCTGAAAAATATTTTCATATTTGATATTTGAAAATACTGAATTAAATGCAATGCAGTATGTTTTAAAATGTAAAATAAGCTTTTTTGAAATCACACAAGTTACGTTTAAAATTCTACACACTATAAGGGAACACAATATTCATACACTGAGCAATTAAAAAAAAAACTGGCATTTTTTCCGAAAGGACCAAATCAACTTGACCAGCAATAGGGAACACAGCTTCCAAACCATAGTTCATATTTTTTCTTATTTCTAATTAGGCAAATTAAAACTTTCCTAGATTTCTATAAATTCCTGTAACAAGAGCCGGTTTAAACCGGGTGGTGCTGCCCGAATAGGTTTTGGACACAGAAAAGTACACCTCTTGTAGTTTCAGATTTATGTCCTGGACAAACTTCAAAGTGCAATAATTCCAAAATCCGGCAAGTCAGAGGTACTGTTCTTTGCACTGCTGTTCTACTCAATGAGATCTATCTTTCCGCTTAGATTCTTGTTGATACCTCTTGTAGTTTCACAGTAATGTCCCGGACAAAGTTCACACTGTTAAATTGAAACAGAGCAACAACTCCAAAAATAGGCAAGGCAGAGTTGCAAATTTACGCAATCAGATCTATTTATCTACAAAGTTTTATGTTAATATCTCTTATATTTTCAGAGTTACGTCCCGGGCATAGTTCAAAGTGAAAAAAAAATGAACAAATGGCAATAACTCCAAAAATTAGCCAAGGCAAGGTTATGTTCCTTTTGCACTGCTCATTGAGATCTATCTACCTAAACATGTTCTTGTTTTTATCTCTTATAGTGTCAGAGGTTCAAAGTGTAAAACTGAACAAATGGCAATAACTCCATAATATGGCAAGGCAGAGTTGTGATTCTTTTGCATTGCACATCTACCTAATTAGATCTATTTACCTACGATGTGTTTTGTTTATATCTCTTATACTTTCAGAGCTATGTCCTGGACAATGTTAAAAGTTTAAAAATGAACAAAGGGCAATACCTCCAAAATTAAGGAAGACATAGTTACGGTCCTTTTGCATTGTACTTCTATTTACTGAGATTTATCTACCTACAAAGTGTCCTATTAATACCTCTTGGTTTCAGAGCTATATCCGGGACAAAGTCCATAGTGAAAAAAATAAACAAAGGGCAATACCTCAAAAATAAGGCAAGGCAGAGTTATGTTTCTTAAACTGCTCATCTACCCAATGAGATCTATCTGCCTACAAAGTTTCTTGCTCATATCTCTTACAGTATCAGAGTTATGTCCTGAGTGTAAAATGAACAAAGGGCAATAACTTCAAAATTACACAAGGTAGAGTTATGGTTTTAGCCTTGCACATCTATTCAAAGAGATCTATCTACCTACAAAGTGTCTTGTTCATATCTCTTATACTTTAAGAGCTATGTCCTGGACAATGTTCAAAGTGTACAAGACAATAACTTTGAAATTAAGGGGGGCAGGGTTATGGTTCTTTTGCACTCGCTTCTATCCAATGACGTCTATCTACATACAAAGTTTCTTGTTGATATCTCTTATGGTTTTAGAGCTATGTCCCAGACAAAAAAAGTAAAAAAGATAAACAAAAGGCAATCACTCCAAAAGCGAGGCAGAGCTATGGTTCTTTGGCACTGCACTCTGACTCAATGCCCTCTACCACTCCGTGCAGTTTAAACAAATTATGTCCTAGAGTTTTCAAGTTCTGCTCCGAACAAAGCGGATGGACAGACGGACGGATGGACAGACGGAAAAGGCCGCATCTATATGCCCCTTTGGGGAGCATAATAAAGGTATTTTACTTAAAGATGTGCTTTGTATATTGAGAAAAACCTCGCCGGTTTGGTTGGTTTGTACATTACAAGAATAAATATTGAACGTGAACCTTAGTCCTTAACAAGAGCTGTCCGTAGGACAGCACGCTCGAATATTCTTGGTGCTTGATAGTAATTTAAGAGCCTTGATAGTATAAAATTTTGTAAGATCAAAATGGCCTATTATGCTTTCAAAGAGGTTTATAAAATTTCATTTTGTTTCAAAGCCAGTTGTGACTTGAACGTAAATTCTAAGTCGAAAGGGGCATCATTCTGTCAAAATGCTTGATAGAGTTACCTCCTCCTGTCTACAGGCATGATGGTGAACAGGTATGCATAGTTTCAAAGCCATATGTCAATAGACTTTGGAAACAGTTGAGGTGGTATGCAAACTTTAACGTACATTCTTAGTCATAAAAGGGGCATTATTCTGTCAAAATGCTTAAGGCAGCTCTACTTATTCTTACGAGCAGTCGAGCTCAAATGGATTCATAAATCACATTTGAGTGAGTGAATTAAAGTGCAAAGTAGTTTAAGTGTTGTACTGACAATTGAATAACTGGTATAACAATATAAAATCAACTTTATAAACGACTTTCACAATTTAACGGTATTCAAATACACTTTTTGTTTCGCCCACTGCGTCACTGCGAAAATATTTAATAACCAGAAAAAAATAACGCGCTTAAAATAACATCGTTTGACGTATACATAATTTGTACACTCTGTATTTTCTAAGTCGTTTTAAATAAGTAATAGGGATACGCACCCTCTATAAATGCAAAATTATCCAAGTTTTAGGAAAAATAACTCCAATTTTCATATGTTCTGAATGATTGTTACTGACAATCTTGAAATTGGCTGCAGGAATATAAAGGATATACCGAATTGGATGATGAATAAATTCCGGCAAGATTTTCCCTTAAAATAATCACTAGAATGATTAAACAAATATATATCGATATTCGTGTAAATAGTGAATGTTGTTTAACATCAGACTGCAAACTAGGCATGCGAATGCATCTATTTGCAAAAAAAAAAACCAACAAAAAAAAACAAAAAAAAACAAAAATATTTAATATAATAATTCGTGTATCATTAAATTTCTGCACTGAGGTGTGGAGACTTTATTTACATAAAAGTCCGAGCTCCCGGATTATCATTTGTATTTTCCTTGTCATTACAAGGAGCTGCAAGAACTTGCAAGGTGAAAGTGATTATTACAGCAATCCAACATGAAACTGGAAATTACTTTAGTGCTTTTAGCTGTCACAGGTTTGCGACATCTTTTTAACAGAATGAAATCTTTTAGAAATATTTTGAAATTACTTTGAATGGTCAAAATGAAAATCCTTGTAAAACAATAATCGAATATATTACAAGACAAAGAACAAAACCATTTTTGTCGATTTCATTGTGAAATATACAATTTCATTTTCTAGAAAAAAAAACAGATTTTTTATCATTTAATTTATTTTTCAGGAGATCTCCCAAACCTGCTTTTGTTGTCTGTCAAAAAATATCACGCTAAAATTATGTTACATACAAGAATTTTTTTTATGGTTTTTGTTCGTTTTTTTTTAACAAATGCCGTTCTAAAATTCGTTTTCAAATAATTAAAATGGCATCTTTTAATTCTTAAGAAGAATTTAGAATATTTTATACTTATGGCAATCGGAAAGTGTTTCTTTTAGTTATTCATAGAATGTAAATTTTATTACTTTGGTAAAAATGATATCACAAAAAAATCAATAAAAAATAGTTATCGAACTATCCAAATTATTTATTATTAATAAGTTAAGTTTGCATTAAAATATGCATCAACGTACTTTTTGAATGACATCTAATATAAAGCAGTTTTGCCATTGAAGCTACACACATTTGCAACTTGCAATTATTTATAAGACTATTTCACCAAGTTGCTGCATTCAGAAATTATTTGAAACAAAAGCTAGCCATCTAACACATTTTATAATACTTGTGTGCTAGAACTGTTTTCTTATCAAATGTCATCAATGATATTATAGGTGACATCGTACAGAGCAGACCAGGTCACTATGGCTGTAAAAGATATTGTGATTTTGGCATAAAATATATTTGTTCTACAGATGGTACAACCTACGACAATGAGTGTATGCTGATATGCAAGTAAGAATGAAACGTTAAAGTATATCATAAATTTTGATAAGATATTGTAATGTTATAATTTGCGTTCTGATTGTCTGCAGCAAAAATATACTTTCTTTATACTGGAAATGAAACTTATGTCCACATCCGGTTTTGGTTTGGTGCCTTCTTGGTGCCCTGCTGTTGTAGCTTGGGCGTGTCGGGGGTACAGCATGTGAACGTCACCTTTGCCTTGTTGATCTTTCTCGTCTTTTACATTATTTATTTATTTATTTATTTACTTATCTATTTTTGTCTTGTCTTCTGTTATATTATAAGCGATGTTTATTTTAATGCAGCTTCGCCCACAAGGCCTGTGATGGTCGGTGTCCTTGCTACAGATCGCCTGCACCCGTTGTGTATCGGTCTAAACCGGTGGTAAACTACAAACCAAGACAAGCTGTGAACAATTACGAAGGAAGGCAATCAGTGAACTACGGACCAAGGCAATCAGTGAACTACGGACCAAGGCAAGTTGTGAACTACGAACCTGCCGCGGTCAACTACGAACCTGCCGCGGTCAACTATCCGAGTGTACCTGATTATGAGCCGATACCAGTGTATACTGAGCCAACACCTGTATATTATGATGCACCAGTCCAGGGTGACTGTGTCTGTCGTAAGGATAAGGACTACGTGTGTACATACGATGGTGAAACATATGAAAATGAATGTGAGGCTAACTGCGAGTAAGTCTTTTTATTGATTTTACAGATAAACATATCGATAATGTACAATCTATAACTTATTTTGCGAAATTTTAAATCTTTTATTACAGAATAAAATGCATATTATATAAATGTATTGATCAATTTTTCTACACAACATTTGTGTAACTTTTTATCGAGATTTTCCATATGTTGGGTTGGTCTTACTATATTAATGTTTTCAAATATTAAGTTTTTTTTTTATTACATAATGCTGATTATATTTCTATCTACAGCGGAAAAGCAAAGATGTGTGACGGCAAATGCCCATGCTCTTAAACGAAGAGTCCATTGAATATTTCTGGTTCCTTATAATAATCAATCGAAGTTGTCAGTTTTGGTGTACAATAATTAATTGACAAATTAGAAGTATGCATCGAATAAAAATTTAGAAAAAAAAACATGAGCTGCAAGGAATCAAAACCGTTTTAAGAAAAAAATATATTTAACAAACTGTTTTGCTTTTATGTTAAATTATTTACAAACCAAAGCTTACAAAATATGTAAAACTGGGACCATGATAAAGTATCTAGTGTAAACAATAGTTGGTGTTATTTTATTTTTCTACCCATCTACAACCAAATAGTGAAGCATTTAGTGATGTCTGCAGTGTTTAGTTTTACAAAGTAAACATCAAATGCGACACAAATGCAAAAATAATATTGAACTAGAAGAGGTTTTTGTCATAAAAACATATGTCTTCCACTAAGGTATGGTACATATCACTTCTGTGAAGTTTTGCACTATCATATTTCCCACTTGAAAACATGATTATCTTATATATAGAAAACACTTTAACATTTCTATGATTATTTTATGTTTGCGGTCTTTAACTACTCTATATTGACACATTATAAATAATACAAAATCTCATTTTGGAATATAAACCAAGTTCAGATGAGAACAAAGTCATGGTTTCTGAGGGCAAGTAAGGTACTATCTGTCACCCGAATGAGTAACTTGATAACTGATGTGATACATTTTTACATTTATTTATTATTCCGATTCCGTGATTGATTTGCCTAGCATGGTATTAAAATGCATTTTCTTTAAAACAATACATATTTATATGCATATGAGGGTTGAAATAAATAAGTAAAGAAATGAATTGTCCACTTTTGATCCATATTTGTTCAATATCAACTATTTTTGTTGATAACATAGAAATGATATTTAAACTTTTATATATTTTCTATTACTACCAATAAAAGTCAAAAAGTCTAACGCCAAATACAATATTTAGGAGAAACAGGCTTCAAATGAAAGATATAAAACATATAAATATATATAAATATATACGTGTATAAATATATAATTATTGAATCATCAACGAACGCAGAAAACTAAACTGATATTAAGTGATTCATGTCGATACGACTGATCCCCCACGATTGTCCACATTCGATTCTAATTATAATGCGTCTTAATGATGAAATATGCATGTATGTGTACATATGTATTTTTATTACATGTTTTGCAGTAGATTACTGAATTATAACGGTTAATTATATTCTGATAATTTCACAGTAATGATTACCAAATATAATTTCACAGTAGCCGAACTATATTTGGCGTAAAAATAAAATATTTATCATTAATGAATGTTTTTTTCAGCGGAAATGTAGTCAATCATAATAACAAATGTACGTGATAACTGTAGTTCGTAAATATTTACGAACGTTGTGCTGAAAAACATCTAAAATCTAAAAATAATCATGGAATTATATTTTGCTTCAACATTGTGACGTCATTATTTGATGACGTCATGAAGATAAGAGCATGACGTTACGCGGCAAAAAAAAGTAAAATGGTGTAAAAATCGTTAAAAAATCATGAAATAAACAGAAAATTTGTTTGTTTTACATGTAAGATCAAATAATATTTCACTCGTGAACCCCAGCTATTATATTTTCACTCGTGGCTACGCCACTCGTGGAAAATATTACATCTGGTGTTCACTCGGTGAAATATTTTTCGATCTTACACTGAAACAAACAAATATTCTCTATGTAAACTTACCATAATAATAAACTGAGGACATATGAGTAAAATTATGCTGTTCCTTGCAAACATTCTAATTCAATCCATTTGCATAGAGCCAATAAAAGATAGATATAATCATTCAATAAAAGGCCTGTGAAATGAAAGGCCTGTGTTATGAAGGCCTGCGTATTGAAGGGCCTGTGTAATAAAGGACCTGATACAATAAAAGTTGCAATAAATGGACTGATATAATAAAAGGCCTTGTGCAATTAAATGCCTGATACATTGAAAGGTCTTGCGCAATGAAAGAAGTGATACAAGGCAGTATTAGGTAATAAATGACAAACAATAGAATAGATAAATACAGAATCCCTAAAGAAAGCCCAACACGACAAAATTGAAAATGTTGCAGGCTCGGTTTGATTGAGCCTGTTCATGGACGGTACTGGAAAGTGCAAGTTACCGTCCACGCCCCCTAGCACCGGCTTAAGCAGAATTCAACATTTATACATGAAGTAGTAAAATTTATGTATTAAACAAGTATGATAATGATAGTTGACAAATTTATATTTTTGCTGTTGTGAAAGATACTCATAATTCTTATGCACCACCGTGCTTGTCATCCGAAGATGAAGTAAAAAATCAATAACTGACTGAAAGGAACCGAACTTTTAAAGTCGCTGATTTCTGATTGCTTGCACGTTGAGAATACCGTCAGGAGCATAGATTCTGCCTCGTGAAGTTGCTATCATCCAGTTAGCTTGCTTAATTTCCATAGTTCTATTCGAGTTTCAGATAACTGCTATCGCATGAGACTGTTAATGTATAATCTGTGCAAGACGGTAGCAATAATTTGGATCTTAAATAAGATGTGGCTTAAACATCAACAGCGGAAAAGGAGTCATGGGAATGTCATAAACCTCGTATAGTAATAATTTTCATGACTCGGTTCATAAAAGTAAATTCAAAGTAAAACACGCGTCAATCAAATAAAAAGAAGTTTATTAAACATCATTTTTGAACACATCTGCGGATGTTTCTAAATTCAAAATTTTACTATTTCATGTTTAAATGTTGATTTCAGCTTAAGCCGGTGCTAGGGGGCGTGGACGGTAACTTGCACTTTCCAGTACCGTCCATGAACAGGCTCAATCAAACCGAGCCTGCAACATTTTCAATTTTGCCGTGTTGGGCTTTCTTTAGGGATTCTGTATTTATCTATTTTATTAAACAAACAAAAATATGAATCGATAGAACTTATGCTTCAGGCAGCGAAACCTTACAAAAAAGCCACTCATTAATTAATTTTGTAAAAAAAAAGACAATTTTTATGATAAATGAAAATATGTTTTCGTCTCAAATTGAAACTTATTTTTCATTGACTAGTGGTTTAAGTTTATTTTTATGAGGCATAAATCACACAACAGCCGTCAGAAATAAAGTAAACAATCAACATGCAGGTGTCATTTATATCAGAGTGTGGCAGCTAAATGCCATATTTTTGCAAATAAAATATCTACATTCAAGCTGTGGTTTTCATGAAATTTGTCAAAATTTTTACTACGCCATAGGGCCATTGTAGTCTTAGTTTTAGTTTAGGAAGAAATCAAGGACTTTGTCCACCTTCAGTTTCATAAGTTACAGAATGTGTTGATAATACAACATTTATATAATCGTCAAATTGTTCCAAATTTAGATGACAATTATAAACCATACGGTGCCACATGTTCATCTTTGAAAGTTGAAATATTTCATGTGAGCGACATAAAATTTCTAACAGTTATTGGTTTGAATAGTCAACTAGTTTGACTGGATCCATTTAGACATTATTTGTATGAGTAAGCCACTTTTAAGAAATTTATCTAAAAAATGTATAAATCAACGACAAATAGCATTTAAAAAGCTTTTTGTAAGACTATAAGATATATGTGTAGTAATTAATCATACAGGTTTAACCTACAATCAAGATCAATATGTTACTTTTTAACATTGAATGATGGTATCTTCAATAAATGCCAGTTCAATAATAATAAAAATGTCTAATAAAGTTAGATTTAAGGCGATAATTCCATTAAAACTGAAACGTCTAAAATGATTTAATATAAGACTTGCCACATTTAAATGTTAGCACGTAAGTACATATATTTAAAATCTGATTAAAATCACAACATGAAAACATTTAATTGGCTATATATCATGTCGTTGATTTTCTTATTTTAAAAGCCATATCTAACATAACAGCCTCATTGTGGATCTGGTGCTAGAAAGAAGAGCCATGGAGGGTCGACAGACCAATAGTTAGTACCCGCTTCAATACAGATAAAGCAGGGATAGCTCAAAATATGATAAATAAGATCAACAAGTAAAGGCGGCGTTCAATGAACGTAGCCGTCTCCATCTCCTTGCTACAGGTTGATGTAAACTCTAGCCGGCTCACCATATGAGGGCTTAGTGGGAAGAGATTGTAGCTGCAGTCGATGCTGTATCATTTAACTTTGACCAGAAATATATGCCTAAATATGATATTTGAAAATACTGCATTAAATACTTTACAGGTCGGTTTTTTTGTTGTTGTTTTATTTTATTTTCAAAGTTAAATAAACTTGTATAATATAAAAATTCAACGTTTTGAATCACAGTCACAATTTAACAGTATTAAAATAGAACTTTGTTTTGCCCACTGCGTAAATATTTGATAACCACAAAATCATTTATTCTAAAAGATGCGCTTACAATTCTATTGATATATACATAACTTACGCAATTTGTTTTTTCTTAGTAGTTTTAAAAATACTAAATAGGGAAACTCGTCCGCTATAAAGATAAAAAGCTTTACCATGTTTTAGGAAAGGCAACTTAATGTTCATTTATTTTGTATTCAAATGAATTTCCAGAGTTGCTTGACTGTGAATGAATGTTACTGACAATTCATAAATTTGCTGCAGGAAATTTAAAGGGTTTATAGCCGCAATGGATGATAAATAATTTCCGGCGGGATTTGCCCTTAAATTTATCACCGGTTTGAATAAACAACAAATTATTTCGATATTCTTGTAAATAATGAGATTTGTTTGACATCGGGGCAAACTTGACACGAGAATGCATTTATTTGCACACAAACAAACAAAAAAGTCCTTCTCAGATATATGTAATATTTTGTTTTTTCCCCTATTTTATGGTTTTTATCATATATTTAGCAAAATGACTATTATTCATCATAATGAATGTCTGTTTTGCTAATTACGTAAAACAAAACACGTCCAATTTAAGATAATAATTCATGTATCATTAAATGTATGCACTGAGGCGTGGAGACTTTTAAATACATAAAAGCCCGAGCGCCCGGGTTGTTTACTTGTCTTTTATTTGTTTATCCCAGAAGTTGCAAGAACTGATCAGTTTTGAGTGATATTTACAGCGATCCAACATGAAATTGGAAATTGCTTTATTGCTTTTAGCTGTCACAGGTTTGAGTAAACTTATTTATATTGAAATTAAAAAAAAATAACATTTGATTTTCTTTCTGTGCAGTCAAACTAAATATCTTTTCAAAATTAAATTAATTAAAACAAAAATGAGGAAAAAATCTTGGCGATTTCAGTGTAAAACAAACAATGCTTATTTTCTTGGAGAATAGTATTCTTATCACTCTTATTTCTTTCCGAAAATTACTAAAAAAAAAGTTGTCTGGCAAAAAATATATCTCAGAAGAATTGCGTAAGATATAAGAAATGATTTGTTTGTTTATTTGTTAAATCTTTTTCACAACTACTTTTATCATATAAAAAAGACTGAAATCGCGTCTTGAATTCTTTACAGAATTTCAGATTTTTTTTTTCATTCGGTTGGCAATTGAAAAATGTCTCCTTTTTCTCGTTAGTATGCCAAGATGCCAAGTTTAGTATCCAAGGACAAAACAACAAAAAACGAATATAACATTAGCATTTATTTAAAATAATTTAATAACATTATACTTTACATGAATGATTTCCTTTTTTACTCATATAAAAGTCAGCAGCCCTATATATAAAATAATATTCATGTTGACGTAAGCAGTAGACGAAAAAACAGTGACGGCCTGAGCGGGCACAAAAACGAACTTTTCGAACCGCGAAAATATAACGGCAGTATTTTACAAAACGCGCAATACCAACAATTGTCGATACATTTTACTAGATTTTTTTTTTAATCCACGTTACTAGTTGAACTTTAACAGTTATATTCTAGTAATACACTACACAGTACTTCGGACCTAATACATTACAGTGGCCTCACTGTCAGCCTCGAACACTGAATGGTCCTCAGACCTTTGCTTTGGTCCTTTAAATGTCTGTATAATGACGAATTGGTCCTATATTTCTATGAGGCTCTAAGTGTTGTGTACTTTTTTGAATTTTAATCAAAAGTCTGAATAAACGTATTCACCAAAGTACTTTTTTTAATTTCATCTAATAGCAAATATTTTGATGTTTAAACTACATGTACCTCTTGCAATATGCAATTAATTGTCCAACTTATTGACCAAGTTACTGCATTCAGAAATTGTTTAAAACAAATTAAGTCAGGTTTTCTGACACATTTTAAGATTTGATTTTTTTCACCACTTCAAAGGGTCCGATGTATTCCTTTGAATATATCAAATGTCATTTTTATTTTGAATGCTTGTAGTTTGTGTCAAAGGTGGCTTCCTGCAGGGCAGGTCAGGGTACGACTGTAGAAGACGTTGTGGATACGACAGACGATATGTTTGTTCTACTGATGGTACAACCTACGACAATGAGTGTATGATGAAATGCAAGTAAGAATGAAACGTCAAAGTATATCATAAATTTTAATAAGATAATAAAATAGTTTGCGTTCTGAATGACTGCATAAAAAAATGCCATCTTCATACATGTCATACTGAAAATATAACATAACGCTGAATGTTTCTAAAATTTGACATTTATGAATATATATATGAATATAGATGGTTACGTTATTTGTTTATCTATTTACTTATTTTTGTCTTGTCTTGTCTTGTCTTGTTTTGTTTCATAAATGATGAAAAAAATGTATAAATATTTCACAGACAAGGAAATTTATTTTGTTTCTCCGTAATAAGCAGTAAAAGAAACGATAATAAATGAAAAGCGTTTTCTTATACAGTAGTGTTCGGGTGTTTATTCTATATGGTTGTTGATTGACATATTTAATCAGAAAAACATAATGATATAATAAATGTTCATTTTTAATACAGCTGGGCCTACAAGTCCTGTGACGGCCGTTGCCCTTGCTACAGATCTTCCGCACCCGTTGTGTATCGACCTAAACCGGCGGTTGTCTACAAACCAAGGCCAGTTGTGAACTACGAACCTGCCTCAGTCAACTACGAACCGGCCTCAGTCAACTACGAACCGGCCGCGGTGGACTATCCGAGTGTTCCTGATTACGAACCGATACCAGTGTATAATGAGCCAGCACCGGTATATTATGATGTTCCAGTCCAGAGCGACTGTGTGTGTAGTAAGGATAAGGACTACGTGTGTACATACGATGGTGAAACATATGATAATGAATGTGAGGCAAACTGCGAGTAAGTCTTATTATTGATTTTACAGATAAATATATCGTAAATGTACAATCTATAACTCTTTTTTGCAAAATTTTAAATCTTTATTACAGATAAGAATACATATTCTATAAATGTATAAATAATATTTTTGCATTGTTTATCGAGATTTTTTCACATAGTTTTACTAAAGTTAATGTTTACAAATATTAAGATTATTTTTCGACAGCCAATTTGTAACATGTCAAATATATTTCTATCCACAGCGGAAAAGCAAAGATGTGTGACGGCCAATGTCCATGCTCGAAGTAGGAGGGTTCATTGATTATATCGGTTTCATTGTAATATACAAACGAACACGTGTGTCAATCATGGTGTATAGTAAAGAATTGACAAGTTAGGAGAATTGTTCAGATAATTGGGAAAAAAACAAAGAAATATAAAACACATGTTTAAAAATATATTTTACTGTTTTGCTTTTATGTAAATTTTGCAAAAGTCCAATCTTACAAAATAAATAAAACTATGGCCATAATAAAGTATCTTCTGTAAACAATGGTTGGTGTTATTTTATCTGTAGGGCTGTGCATTGCCATTTTTTTCTTTTTCTGTCACGATACATATCACGATACTTGCATTTCCAAACGATGCGATTCACAATATGTATTGCATACTTTGATAAAATGCGATGCATATTGTGATTCTTATGTTGCGATGCGATACGTATTACAATACTGACTTTCAGAGACTTTATCTATATAAAAAACTTGGTCATTTGTTCACAGCATAATTACGAATGTAATATAAAACTACTACAATAACAAAACAATAAACTCTTCAACTTGTTATTATAACTTATCTTCAAGTTTTGATCTTTCAACAATTTACATTACTTATTACTTAAGGATTTTTACTTTTTACTTAAGGATTAAAGGTATTTTTCATTATACCATAACTATTGGTGTATTGCGATACTTTCCCGCTATATCGATGCATCGGGTGGTGAAATATGTATTGCATCCTGATATATTGGAATTTATAAATTCATTACGATGCAGACATCGAGGACAGGGCAGATCGCGATGTATCAATGCATCGATGAATCGTTACACCTCTATTTATCTGTATTTCCATTAACAACCATATAGTGAAGAATTTAGTGATGTTTTACAACGTCAACAGCAAAGATGACACACGTCTTCTACAGCAGCACAAATAGTTGGGTTTTGTCTTTTAATTATTTGTTGAGATATTATTCAATACCGCATGGTTTGTTTAAAATAGAGAGAAATAATGAATCCCCAAAGAAAGCCAAATAACGCAAAATTGAAAATATTGCAGGCTCGGTTTGATCGAGCCTGTTCATGGACGGTAATGGACAAGTGCAAATTACCGTCCACGCCCCCTAGCACCTGCTTAAGCAGAATTCAACAATTTAAGGATAGAAAACATAACATCATGGATTGAATGTACGGGGCGACTTTCTAAAGCCTCCACACGACAAAAAACAACGATGATGTGGCGATAAAATAGAGAGAAATAAAGAATTTCCAAAGAAATCCCAACAACACAAAATTGAAAATCTTGCAGTTTCGGTTTGAGTGAGCCTGTTCATGGACTGTAATGGGCAAGTGCAAGTTACCGTTAAGCTGATGTTGATTACAGTGACAGCTTTATTCTAAGTTGATCCAGAAAGAAATTCTTCATTAATTTTGAAGTATTTTCTTAATATTATTAATATTCTTTATAAAATTAATAATAATAATAATAATAATAACAACAATAATACAAATAACAATACAAAAAATGAAACAAATGATAATAAAATAAAATTAACAATTAAAATGATGGCTATGTTGGTGACTATTAATGTTGAAGAACGTTTAAGAAAATAATGACACTATACATAATATTACAAAATAAAAAGGTCTAAAATGGAGAAATAAGAAACTGATAACACTCGTATAATAGCTGTTCTCATAAACAAAATACCACAAACACAAAGAAACAAAACCGAATTTCTCTGTTTACACATCCGAAGTACAATGAATGTAAATATTTTAAATTCTTATATAATTGGGTAATTGGGAAACGCAATTACAAGAAATAGTTTTTCGTTACATGTTATAGGACAATTTAAAGATAATCCTACAAAAGTCGTAGAATCTTTAGAACTTCAGGGAGGAAAACTGGTACGCCTCGCTTCTGAAAAACACACGGTCAATGCAACAATTTTTCATTAGTAAACTAGAACCATTGGCGTAGTCATTATATGCACTTTGTCCTCTATAAGTATATAGGAAAACAAAAGTATTGGACAGTATACGTATTTAAGAAGTCTCCAAAGTGCCAAGTGTGTTTCTCGTGTATGCTTTTGCAGCTACAGAAATACGATAAAATAGTTTAATACATCAATGCATTTAATATTCAAGTTGCAGATACCCAGTCCAGAAATAACACACCGGACACATACCCATAGTTAGGTACAGAAACGGATAAACATTTATATTAAGTCATGTCAAAAATCAGAACTTCGAGCACAGATACTTCAACAAATATTTCTTCACCGTTAACCAGAAAAACAAACTGACGTTGTTAGCCCTGTAATTTTGAAACAAAGATGACATGAAAGTTATGAGTATAAATATATTAAATATCGAAAGTGTATATACTGAAAGACTAAGGCATTAAATGTTAAAACGTTTTACGGTAGATCTCACTTAAGCCTTGAGAAAATTTGATGACTGTATTTGACGCTGTCATTACTGAAGTAACTAATAGCGTTTAAATCCAATCATCTGATCTCCGTACATTTATTTCGTACCATCGTGCAGTGAAGGTTGTCAATAAAGAAAAAAAGGAAAACATCATATTAAAAGCAAAGCCATAAAATTCCGAAAACAATAAAAAATTAGAAGGCGACATTACAAAAGTTAAGATAGATATAACAGAGGTGGATACATTTGTTTTACAGTTAGAGATGAAGCTACAGAAATTCTAGATCAAATGCGAGATCATAAACAATAATCATACATAAATCATATGCGTCAGAAGATGTCTTTCTAGTCATATGACACAACAACTTCCGCCCATTGTTTAGTTCCGCCCATTGTTTTCTCGTTTAGGGCACACGCTTTTTATTACTTGGGGACCATACGCCGCGTTTCATGGAATGGCACTACTGTGTCACATTGAAGGTTCCATGATAACCGCCGTATGAACACATCTGCGGATGTTTCTAAATTCCAAATTTTTACCATTTCATGTTTAAATGTTGAATTCTACTTAAGCCGGTGCTTGAGGGCGTGGACGGTAGTTTGCACTTGACAGTACCGTCCATGAACAGGCTCAATCAAACCGAGCCTGCAACATTTTCAATTATAACGTGTTGGGCTTTCTTTAGGGATTCTTACTTTCTCTATTTCATCAATAACATGTCATATGGAATTTTTAACTGTAAATCGCGGCAATGCAACGAATTCAAGATATGTATTGAACCGGACAAATAGTGACAGGCAAAAACTCCATTGTCTGCATATACTTTTATACCTGCACGAGTTACTTTTTAAACTTAAACACAATCTTCAATTGCTCAATTCGGAAAGCATTAGTCTATTTGACAGAACTACATTCTAAACAAGTGCCAAAAATCTCCTGCGATAAGCTCTGTTTTCAGTGGGTTTTTATGATGTTGATGTTGTTTCTATCAACAAAAGAAAAATATTCAGCAACAGGAATTTTGAGGGTCCGAATTGTAGAATGAACTTCCCATTGACATTCGATGACCGTGTAAAAGAAAGCTGAAAATTTGATATTTTAAAGACTGCCATGCACTGTACAATAGAGACCTTAAACCAAACGAAATCAAAATATCATAATGTTATTCCAAGCATGTAGATACATTACAGATTTTATTCCAGGCACTTTACAACATGACAAGTTATTGCATTTACCGACTGCCCCATATTAAATTAATTATTTCCTTGTAACACAAACAGTCTAATGAACAGAACTATGCTAATTATGTTTATTATTTACGCATTAATTCCAACGCTGTTTTTATAATAATTATTATTATTATTACATGTATTGTATAACTAATTATTGTCACTCGTCTATTACAACACCATTAAAAATTGTTATTGTTTAGAAATGGGCGTGGAATGAAAAAAAAGATTCAGATGAATGCAAAAGAGCGAAGATTTAACATTTTCGCCTATTTATTGTTATTACAAAAAGGTTTTAAATAGCTTCATTTAGAGCATAGATCCCAGTTTATCGGCGAGCCCATTATTTTCATGTCTGGACCAGATAGTCTTGTAGTTATATCGACTGATAATTACACATGACAAGGTAAAAATTAGTTCTGGCTTCCATAACTTTATATGTCGCTTTTATTTTGACTTTGCGACAGTAAAGTTATGGGTCAACCCTATTTGCAAAGGCTACCAGAATTTGACAGTTCGTGTGCGGTACATAAAAACTTCTTTAAATCACCCTTATTAATCAAATTTGGGTCAAATAAAAATACCAATTGATAAACAAATCATTTTTGAACCAATTCATGTTTTGTTTTTAAATGAAACTTCAATGACTTTGTGTACCCAACTATTTTTAGAGAAATATGTAGAGAATGTTTACCAATATGGAGTCTGCTTTCAAATGAGATCTCGCGGGACTAAATGTTTTGGAAATTCTAGCATCTATTTTTAGTAACGGACCGTACATTATTTTTAGTAAGTGTATGATTTTTATATAAAAACAAACAAATAATTCATAAATCATCACTTAAAACAATATAAATCCAACATGTTTTAGGTACAATGTCTATTATTGAATAAATACACCGTTATTCATAATTGCAAAGCCATGTTTTCAGTTAAAAATAGCATTTGGGTCATGTGTCACCAAATGTCATGCAAAGGTATCCGAACCTAAATTCTCGCTGGTCACGTGATAATTAGGGCAGCAATGGCGGCGAATTTTATGAAATGTGAACCCGCTGATAAACTTTGAGGCAATATTTCATCAATCTAACTTTCTGTGTTAAAAAATATAGACTGAAGGGTCCCAAATATATCTAACTACCTGTATTAAAATAGCTTTTGTCCAGATCACGCAAATTTATTGAATTACAGCATGACATAAAAATGTCACGGTTCTGGTTGACTTTCGATACGGGGTTGGCTTCAGCGAACAGGTCTAGCAATACTATAAAACCTGTTTGCTGAAGTATCTTTAGCTAGGTAAAAATGTTATTAATGTTGATTATTGTGCTGCAAACCACTCTGAAACGTGTCAACTGTTTCCATAAGCATTTCATTTCAGAAAACGTAGTGCAAGTATAAACTTTTTTCACATCTCAAAGAAGTGTTTTTGATTTTATAAACATATGTGGCTCTCTATTTTATCGGTACATCAACGTTGTCTGTGCCTTGTGGATGCTGTAAAACGTCGCCCCGTACATTCAATGTTATATTTCCGATCCGTAAAGATCGTTCATGATCAGCACGACATTATTGCTGTGTTTGTTGTATTTTTTGTTTTAACTTTTTTTG